ATTTTTAAACAATCAAAGTTGGTTGGGCACTAAATATACACAGCAAAGAGCGGATTTTTAAACCTGATAATCATCAGAACGAAGCAGTCAGTTCATTCACCGTTTTTCAATTAATCTTCGATTTATGTGGGTTTTTGTCTTTTCAAATTTCAGCAGGTTCGTTTTTTGAACCGGCTATGTGTAAACTGTAGGTCTGATCAGGAAATCCGCGATATATTCCACTTTTTAGACGGGGAATTGTTACATCCGCTCTGAAAGTTGCTAAACAAGTTATAGCAGGTACCAAGAGTAGGGTTTGATTTTATACTAATCTAATTTTAATCCCTCATCTCCTTTGCTAATGTCTATTGTTCTTGTTTCAGGTATGTACTCACGCAGTCCGCTCCTTCTATCCCGTCGTGGAATAATACCTCATCAGTGGTTCGTTTTTTTAACTTACTCGCTCCCTTTATTTGATTTCTACCGTTACCTATACCCGCAGCTTATTTGAATTCGAATTAAGTTAATTTTTTTTTAATCATACCGAGTTTTGGGTCGCCCAGAGTTCACAAAAATTCACATCCCTTTTTTGTTGGTGTTGTTATTGGCTCAAACAAGGGGGAACCAGAAGAGAAGTCCGTCTCGCCACGATTTCATAGGGGCCGTCCATAAATGACGAACGGCACTTTTTTCAATATCTGACCCCTCCCCCCTTCTCATGTCACCCCTCTTCCCTTCCCACCCTTCTTCGGAAAGATTTGTCTGGCAGGCGTAGCTCTCCTCCCTTCGAGGCATCTGACATCATTTTTAAACGGTTCGTCATGAGTAATGGGAGGATTTTACTTATAGGATTCTGTCAAAATATTATTATGATCAGTCACCGCAAAAATGTAAATAATCACTACAGACACTTCTTGCCTCCTGATATTCTCATTGCAATTTCAGCCCCGAGAGATTTAGGTCTTTCTATGTAGCATTCAGGCTGGATGTCAACATCCCAATTTCGAGAAACATAGTCATTGCACTGCGATCTTTGTTTGAAAAAACTAACGACGTGTTATTCAGTAGGTAGATGAAGTCTTTCACTTGAACTTCAAGTGAAACTTGAAATTGGCCTTCAACTCTAGCGGGTAGGAAACAACTCTACCAAGGAGCGCAAATAATGCCTATAAAATGTCCTTACACGGGAAAACCTTACGTTTACTTTGCAAACTGTGATCGAAGTAAACGATGTTACGAATCCATCAGTGTAGATATCGTGCGGTTGAAGTTCGCCTTCAATTTCGACACGTAGGCAACAAACATACCGGAGAGCTCGAATAGTTGCCTATTCGGAAAACTTACATTGATTTAGCTTCTTGGACCTCAGTAGAACCGTTTAACTATATTTTGAACTTTTTCTGCCGTGTTTAGGAAAAACGCCGTATGAGCCTTCAGACGTTGCCAATTTCTCACCGAAAAAGTCTGATATTTCAGCAAAATTTGTGAACAGTTCTCCTCATATTTTTTAGATAATTTCATTCGCGATCAGATGTAAACTTTCTGAAAATTCCAAGGAAAAACATTCATTCCACTCTTCCAGAAAAATTGCGCATACGTTGTTTTTCCTAAACATGGCAGTTTTGTTGGGGGTATCATCTATTTGGACTGCACTTTGCTGTAAGGAACTACACTTTTTTGCTCATCCGTAAAAACACTTATGTTCATAGAGAAACTAATGGCTTGTACTTGGTAATGCATTGGCAGACTGTAATCGCAAAATGCAGTCCACTTGAAGCTCGGCTTTAATTTCGCCGCAAACAATACCGAAAAATACGCAAGTCTTCTCCGAGCTCCGACTTCCTTATTTTTAACTCTCAGTTTTAACTGCCAAACGCGGCTCTCGCAAATGTTTGCCCTCGTGCACATAAGCGGAACGATGACTGACCTGTGGCATAATTCAAAAGGGTGAATTGAAAAGTCCCGTGGGGTCTTTCACAATTTTTTTTTTATTTTTCGATTTCCGTCGGATGAATAATTCATAAAATTTGTCGCGTGGTGCATTCAAATTGCTGTTACTACGGCAACCTATCCGTAATAATTTATCAGCTGCTCAAGATTCCACGTTGCCGCGTCGCCGCGCTGCGGTCGTCGTTCGTTGACTCGCGCGTCACGCCGGCGTGACAACGCCGCTAATTTGATTACATCTAATCAATTCTCTCATCCGAATCCTGCGCCATCGGCGTATCGCCGAATTTAAATTACGAGTTTTGAATTTTAAGTAACACCATCAGGGTTCGAGGATCTTGGCACCCAGTCCGTCGTTACTCAAGTAAAATGGGTGGATTGGCTCAAGTTCCTTTCAGGCATCTACCTTCAGTGGCGTGGCGTGCTTTGCTATGTATCGATTGGATTGCATTTTGCAAAAAGGAACCACTAGCATTGCAATGTTGCTAAGATTGTGCAACTTCTTTTGTCTTGGAGGAAAAACCCGATTATCCCTCAATAGTTTCTATTTTACTCGGTAAAAACTGTAAATTTTAGACAAAAATTACCATCTAAATTTCATGGTTTTTCACAATTTCCGCAATTTTATGGCAAAGGATGAAGTTGCACAATCTTAGCATCATTTTAATGCTAGTGGTTCTTTTTTGCAAAATGCAATCCGATTGATCTGCCATTTAAACCTATGGAAAAGGATCGATTTACAGGGTGCTCGCAACGAACACCGTAATAATCGATTCTTTACCGTAGCTTCAAATGGAGAAATATCGATAATCGGCCATTCACGCCACGCCACTACTATTTTTCTCTCGATAGAGGCCATGTGAATATTTTCACCCTCAGTCAGGACTGAAATAAGTAAAAAACGTGTTACCTTTTACTGAGTTTTTCGAGAAAGCTCACGTTCAAAACTTCATCATTTATTACGTGACAATTTTTGTTGATTCCTAAGAGTATTTTATACACATTGAGATGTCATACGTGTACACTGAAAGAAAGAAAACAAAACATTAATGCCACCAAGAGGTATTTTTTCTTGAATCAAGGATGATGCTGCGTAATTAAGTTCATACTTTAGTTATCCATCCCATGCGCTTTTTCCCTTGTTCATAGAGAAATTCAGCGCATGAATCAAGATAAAAAAAGAACCATGTAGGTAGTAAATTCAAGAATCATCTTGCTTCACCAATCACTTTTTTTTCAGTGATAGGTTTGTGAGGCATTTTTCTTCTAGCAGAATCAAGGAGGGGAGTATAGGTGATGTTATTATTTAATGTGGCCTACCTTTGCGGTCCGTGGCTGGGTGAGAAACCCCCACATCCTCGGGTGTTATTTTTTGTTTTGTTTTACCTTAACCCTCCACAACTTTTTCTGCTTTACCTATTCGATTTTTGACAAAGGGCTATAAGTTATAGTTCAAAGGCAAACACTGCTTTTATTGTTTGAAACGGTCTTACCTCTCTGAACATGCTGGTTTTTTCACCATCAATTATCTATAGATACATTGGTTTAACACCAGTCGAAGGATAAGGACGACGCCCAAGGTGGAAAATATCAGAAACTAAATAAAAAAAATTTCATTATACTGAAAGACCAGTAACAATTGTAGGTCAAGAAGAAATCTAATTAAGAAAAATATGGACTGACTTTTGCAACAAGGAACTTCAATTTCTGGCTCATGCATAAAAATACCAATCTGCATAGGGAAAATAATAGCACATATTTTTTTTCTAAAATGAGCCATAAGTTGTAGTTCCTAATTGCAAAATGTAGTCTAATTGGACTGCATTTTGCAATTTGGACCTATAAATTCCGGCCCGGTTTAAAAACAACGTATGTGCCATTAGTTTCTCTTTGCACATAAGTGTTTTTTTCAGATGAGCCAGAAGTTGTAAGTCCAAATTGCAAAATGCAGTCCAATTGATAGTATCACGAAGAGAGACTTCCTTCTTTTTACCGTTCCTATATCAGCGGGAGTCCTTGCAGAGATAATTTTTCCGGTGGAATAAATCAGTGTCAGGAAAGCTCATAATATTTCTTGCAATTAAACAATAAGGGGAATTGAGTAGAAAAGCTTTAAAAATTGGACAACAATCAACATTTTACAGTTCAGTCGCCGCAGTCATCTTCATTGAGTGAAGAGGGAGTCTTCGTTAAAAAACGGGTAGCCCATTATAAATCCCTCAATCGAGAACCGCCTAATTTGGATCTCATTCATCCCAAATCAAGGATGTGTTTTCGGGCGCGCAGGAGTCCGCCCATCTGTATTGTTCGTTAGAATCAACCCTTCATTATCCTGGAAATATACCAATAACCAAGATTCTTTGAATCAAAGCAAGTTTTCAACTTTCATATCACAAGACAATTGCAGCACGCTAATCTCGCGACAAAAATACGGTCAAAGTAGTGCACGATGAGACCGCGTAAAATACACTAGCGACGCACGAACCTTTAATCTCAAATCCAACCGCAACCACTTTCAGCCCCCCGGTGCACAAGTGCACCCTTCAAGACGAAATTAATATGCTGACGACCTGTCATAATTTATTCAATCGTCGCGATTAAACTGCCATTCATGCGCGATAACTCGAATCCTCGTACATTATGCTGCCCAATAAATTTTTATGAATGAGCTCGTTAATTTATTACAATGGACCATTAAAATCACCGCCGATCTAAACGTCTCGCGCACCTCATTCTGACCCGAAGTCAAAAAAATCCGTTCGGGGCGGCAACCCCGGTCCACACTGGGGCTCTGTTTTTTTTTACGCATGTGCCTCTACAACTTCCCTAACAGATCCTCCCCCTGCCCCGCGCTCCCCGCCTCGAACTTGCCCTCTCTCTCCCTCCGATTGTAGTGCGACCCCTCGCCTTGTCCTTATTCCATTAAACAGTAGGGAACATCTGTCGCTCTCCTTCTCTCTCACTCCCCCCGGCGCCCTCACTCTAGCGCCGGCTCACGCCGCCGCCGTTTTCGTTTTCATGGAGTTGATCGCTCCGGCCAGTAGCTGTTCGCCTATCGTCGAGGTCTGAAGTATCGTCGCTCGCGTCTCGCAACTGATAACTCGTCTTTCGTAATATTTTACTCAACTCTTTTTTTTTTCTTTTTTTTCATATTTTTTATCCTCGCTTATTTTTAGCTGTCAAGTGAGGTGTCGGTTTTTTCTTATCACCGACGGGCGTGAAGCGATCCGCGGTGATGTTTTGTGTCGACTAATGGTGTCGCTCTCGGGTGCTCGACGGTTGTTTACGTTGCAGCAAAGGTGACGGCGAGCCGATCCGCGTGTCGCAATCCGAAAATCGCGGTTTTTCCGAGCGTGATTTTTCCGACGTTATGACGGTGCTTGACGTGCTCTCGGTGACGCGCGGCTACTTTGCGTACCTCCAGTTTTTGGTTTAGGGTTCTCGTTCCCGTCGAAAAAAGGAGAAAAAAAGGTCGGAAGTGACGTGGGTTTTGCGCGTTGGAAACTGTTGACTCTTTCGTAGTTGGAAACCGCCGCTGTAGTGAAATGTTTCAGCGTCGTTACGTGGACGGATGTCTGAAAAATTAATGAAGATCGATTTTATTTGTTGTCTTTTACCGGTTCAAACGATTTAATCTGCCCTAACGAAAGGATTGTTATCAAGTTTGACTTTCGGTCGTGATTTCCATTCGTAAGTTTGGCTTTTTCTTGTTGTCACTGAAGTACAATTAGATTCCACCGGTTCATTTTGTGGTTGACAACTAAAGCATGCTTATTAAATTTGACTTCTGGTCGTGATTTCCGTTCAAGATTAAAGTAAGTTTGGACTGTTGTCATTCAAATACTATCGGATTCCACCGGTTCGTTTTGTGGTTGATCACCGGACGTTATGATCTACGACCGCCGAGGGTCTAAATCCAGGCAAATTTCGCAGAGTGTTCTGGTGCGCAAGTGGAGGAGATCGGCCCGGTGATTTTGGAATTAGTGATAAGGTGATAAGCGGTGGCGATGATAGCCACCAAGTGGGCCGTGCCGGAGCCCAAATGTCCCGCGAAAGTTGAGAGCTCAATCCGGCTCCGCATGCCGGAGTCCTTCCTTCGATCCCTCAAGAGGCGATCCCTCAGGGTCAAACGCTCCAAGTCGGCCGTCGTCAACGAGAAACGGAAATCAGGTTGGTGTTGACTCTTTCTATGGTTTTACAACCTCAAAATCGTCATGCGGGACGGTGAGCCCGTACTCCGCATGTCCGGAGGGATGGGGGTAATCCAGGTGCAGTCGCGTGGTTTATCCGTTGGTGGTGGGAGGGGGGTGGGCTGCACACTTTCGGTGTTCCCAGCTGTCCAGGAAACTGTGTGGATTGTCATAAACAGGGTGTCCAACTGCCCACTACTGCACGAATAAAGCACGGATTTCGAATGATCAGTGAGAAAGAACGGAAGACTTAGGAATTTTTCATATAAAAGTACGGAAATTGGAGATAAACTTGAAGAAAAAGCCATGGAAGTATGCAGTGCTGTATAATTTTTTACATACTTGACGTCCCTGCGAACTCTTAGTTTGATTCTGCCTATTTCAGATTATTTCTCTAGATTTCTCTTATTCCACTCTCGAAAGAGGAATTGATGTCTTTTTTGCGAAAACCTGTTCTTGTCAGTGTAGAAAGTTTCAGGCGAGTAAAAAGTGAGGTTAAGGCCACAAAAACGCAAGGATATAAGGAAACTCCTGAAAAGAGAATTTTCGGGAAAGAATGGAAAAATCAAAGAAATTGCAGAAAAATGCAAGGATTCTAGATGATCACGTACAAGCAGACACCCTGTTCAGAACCTCCAAAACGTCATGTGGGACAGTGAGCCCGCACTGCGCTCATGTCCGCAGATGAAGGGGGTAATCCATGTGCATTCGCATGGTTTATCATTTTGGGGGTGACATGGAGGGGAGGGGGATGCTGCCCATTTTCGGGATTCTCAGGTGTCTAGCACTTATGGGGATGTTGGAAAGAAGAACAGATAATACTTGAAAGTGTAGGAGAGTCGAGAAGCTTTCTGAAAATATGAGGAAAATCGAGGAATTTTTTTTAAAGACTTTTAAATTTATTAAGTGACAAAAATTGTATGGTCACGTATAAAGTAACCACCTTCCCAGCTCATGCATGAACGCATCTAGGAACAGAGACATCCATGATAGGTACGTGGTTCAGGGTGGCTATAGCGGCCGGGAAAAGTCAGGGAACGCAGATCGACCGGGAAAAGTCAGGGAATTTCGTCAACGGTCAGGGAATGTTATGTGGAGCCGGATTCCACGTAAAAATCGGATCCGCGATGGGCGAGCTCATCTCGTTGTTGTGCCAACGTCTTAACCAATTTAATCAAGTGTGCCCTTACGTTATAGTAAAAAAGTCATTAAATGATAAAATGAAATTTTGCTAACCACCCTGGTTTCTGAACCTAGCTAAAAAAAGTTACCTCCTTGATTACCGTGGTGCCGTTCCATTTTCTTCGCATGTGCATGCTAACGCGTCCACATACCCGCAGCATGTTTGCTTTATTGCTTATACATTTTCGTGAAAGCTAGCAATACCTCCTCAATATCCATAAAGTCGTCTGCAAGTGGCATTTCGTGACAGTTCGCAAGTACTGTTTGGCATCCTCGTCGGGCAACAGTCGAACGCACGCGCGGACGATCCGCGACTATGATACGAGTAAACGATGACGACTCGCGGGAAGACAGTCGGCAAATTGGTATCGAGTTACGGAGACATGAATATGATAGCCTTGTTAACGCCTCCGAGCGATTGTTGCCCGCTTCCATTGTTTATCGGAAACGCCCGCTCGGCTAATGACAAAACTTACCAACTTAAACCGTCATGCTTGCTCTCGCTCCAAGCTAAGGACGCATATCGACCAGTCTTCTCACATCGATCTTGGCCCATGGCCAGCGACAACATATCGACATGAACGATGATAGCGGGGGAGGCTCTAGCTTCAAAGCATACTTGCGCTCAAATCTCATCTCTTATTATCATTTAGTCACTGCTGAGGACAGTGCTAAGCAAATCGGCATGTGCGAAAACGCCGATGTGCAATACAGCACTGAAAAAAAAAAAAAGAAACTCCGGCCGTAGAAGCCCTACCCAGGCTGTACGCAACTGTCGTGCTAAGGAAGAACGCCGTATGAATATTCGAGAGTTGCCAAATTTCTCCAGATAAAACATGTTCTTTTGAGGAAAGTTAACCATATCTATTCTTGAAGTTTTCAGATGTTTTGGATCAAATTGCGAACAAAATTATCTGAAAATTTTAAAGGAAAATGTTCGCAATGTTCCAAGTGAATTTTTTTATTGAAGTAAATCTGGCAACGTCTAAAGGCTCTTACGAGGTTATTCCTTAGCATGATAGTATAGATATACTGTCTGCGTTTCGGGCTCAGAGGCCGAAAGTTCCAGACGTAGCATACCCGGAGCGATCGAAGCTACAACTCCAGCGCCCGGAACGGACGAATGTCTATTTGGCCCATAACTTTTTTTTTCAATGAGTGTTTCAGAATGTGAGTGGACGATTTCGTTGTAACTTACACACACAAGATGGTTTATGACGTTAGAGATGTAGACTGATTTTATAAAACATAATATCCCCGAAGTGTAATTAAACGTTTACTGAAGAGATCGATCTTATTCATCAGTGTCGTGAGGCGAAAGAAACCACTGCACTTATAAAACCCTGCGTCGGACAATTAATTAATAGACGTTTTCGAACAAGCTGATTCAATTGAGCATGAACGCACTTTAATCGAATGATATTATGTTGTTGCCTTATAGGGATGATGTCGACGGCTAAAGTGCAAATGCGCGTATCTTCATCGCGATGTTTCAAAATCTCCGCTCCTAATTTATTTTTTCAAACAAACCAAGCCAACTTTGTAGCTTGAAATGTATTCAGAATATTCTGCTAACAGGGATGAAGTATTGAGGAAGTTTTCGAGAAATTATGTTGAATTATGTTAATAATGAAGTTATGCTTCTTAAAGAAAAAATAAAGTATGATAGCCAGTCTGCAACGTCACAAACGGAGATACGTGGTTTCGCCTCTTGGTCATCGATATAGCTCGCCATGTGATTCGGAAAAGCTTACTGTAGAGTACCCAGTAAAGAAGCTGATGAATGCTTTATTCAATGTCTTTGGCTGAATGGCATCTTTTACAATTGCCATTGCATCACTAGCTACTTCAGTTGTCTGTTTATTCATTTCAGAGTGCGCACTATACGCCATCTTCGAGACGGAGGAACCTATTTCCATTCCAAGTTTGCAGAAGTGACTTTCGCAGCTAAATATTTTTCTGGAATAAGATGCTAGAATTTTTGTCCAGAATTTGACTGATTTTTACGTGTACTCAATCAGACAGGAATGAAAACAGCGGAGTTTTTGGTCAGTAACGCCGAGCTGTTCCCTAGTAAAAATAAAACATGCGAGTGGAAATTTTGCAACGTCGAAATGTAGTTACGTTCTTTCGTCCGAGAAACGGCGTGCGGATATACTCGCGGACCGATTATTGAAACTGATAGATAAAGCGATGGACAAAGACGACAAAAGGGATTTGGAGGGATCCTATTGGTGGAAACGGGTTGTTGCAATGGACAAAGGAGGTAGGTAATCGACTAAGTAACGGCAACCCACGAGAAATCCGACAGTTAGTCTATCATTTTCCCCCTTAGTCGATGAGAACCACCCATTTCAACCAATAGAATTGCTTTATACCCCCTATGTCATCTTTGTCTATCGCTTTGTCTATCAGTTTCAATAATCGCCCCGCAGGTTGTGCTCGTCGAAAATGTCTCTGACGCGTTATTTTCCCTCGGGTGAAAATATTTTAATACTCAACTCAAACAACGAAAATTGTAATCACCAGAGTTTTCCTCAATTTGTGATCGCATCGTCATAAAATAGACGTATTTATGCTAAAAGGAACTATGTGCATTCTGCATAAGGTTTGCGTGCAACTTAGTTCTTTTTAGCACGAATACGTTCAGTTCTGAAAGCATGCAAGTACTCCGTGGAAATTCTGCCACTTGGACCACTGGACTGGACTGCCGTGCTAAGTAGAAATGCCGGATGAACATTCGAGGGTTGAAGGGCCGGATTAAAGGGATGGCCACATGGGCCGCGGCCCATGGCGGCAAATCTATAGGGGGCGGCAAATTTTGCAATTTTTTTAAATGTAGGTATAAAAAAAATTCGGATTTAGAAAAAAAAATTACAAACGAGAAAAGGCGACAAAATCTCTAAGTTTCTGAGAGTATAGTAATTTCTACTTTTGTCGTCTCTCAGTGATACAAGAGGCAGCACCTTTAATTAATCGAGTTAAGAGAGAAACCAAACACGCAATTTGGCCTGTAACGGCGCGGCGATCGGAACACATATTAGCGCCTACAAGACTGCACGAATACTTCACGCATTGCATCAAACACGGTGCGTTCATTGCGGACAGTGTGAAACGGATAGCGCCTACAAGAATGCATGAATACCTCACGCATTGCAGCAAACACAGTGCGATCAGCGGGAGACGCATAGCGCCTACAAGACTGCGTGAATACTTCACGCATTGCGTCAAACACAATGCGGTCTGCGAGGCGCGGCGGCGGAAGTTAAAATCATTAATCCACATTTATGTTTGTTCTTTCATAATTTTTTCGTTCATTTCTTATGAATGGAAGGCCTTGTCCATACAGAGATAGGTTTACGAAACTTGACTTTCGCGCAAAATTCCGTGAACTTTTGCTAGTAGTGTTAACAGGGCTTTCCCAAAAAATGTGTTCAACACCAGTAAACGCGTCTTATGCACCCCCCGCTGGCACGTTCATTTGATGGTTTTCATTGATGTTTCAAAACGAATGAGAAGGGGGCGGCAAAATACTAGCGGCCCATGGGCGGCAAGTAGGTAAATCCGGCCCTGGAGGGTTGCCAAATTTTCTCAATAAAATGTTTATTTTTGAGGAAAGTTATGAATATTTTTCCTTGAAATTTTCAGGAACTTTAGGTGAAATTGCAACCAGCAATATTTTAAATATTAAAAAAAAATATTCGTTAGTTTACCAGGAATTTCGTGTTTTATAACGCCTGAAGGTTCATACGGCGTTTTTCGTTAGCACGGCAGTAGAGCAGCGACCTTGAGTTGGAG